TGTGTGTCTGGATCTGTGTATGTGTGTGTGTGTGTGTGTGTGTGTGTGTGTGTGTGTGTGAGAGAGAGAGAGCAAACTGGACCTCTTGCAGGGCTATTGGCAGTCCATTTAAGGGTTTAAGCAGCAAAATAATGAATATCTTTCAATTTATATTATTTACAGTTAAGTATTTAATTATATTGTCATGTATAATAATATGTTATACATACTAATGTAAGTGACATATATAATATAGAATCTATCTATCTATCTATCTATAATATGCAGCCTTGGTGAGCGTGTACTGTAGTGTATTATATTGTTTTTTATTATTTTATTTTACCACTTTTATTATTTCTTTTATGATTTATTCAGTATTAGGAGGGATATTTTTATTTATTAAACTCCTTCTAGGGCGATATGCACTAAAATTGTCCTGTTTGTAGATTCACTCCTAACAAGAAGTTATCAAATATGTTTCGTTTTGTCAGGTTCGGCAGTACATCTGAAACGGTCATAATGACTAACTGATTATTGTCTTATGAAAGTAAAACATCACAAAACTCACTCTGAGGACGTGTGTCAAATATAATCAAATACCAGTGATAAAATCACAGTAGCTTAAACAAATCCTTAAAACTACACAACTGTGATTTAGGGAAGTTTACATTCAGTAGTCTCCACAGTATCTAAGGGATCTTATCTTTCAAATCTGGCAATTTGTGGTCATTTTCTCCTTTCTGCTTGGATCCTGATCATTGCCACTATGTTTTGCTTTTGTTTCACTGTTTATAGAGCAGAAAGACTCTTGTTTTCTGTGTGTATGTTGGACGATTCGTGGTCGCCTCTAATGCATTGTGAGCGTGTGTGAGGGAGTAGAAAGGTCATTCAAGTAGAAGTATAATTTTTGGTGAATTACTGAATTATGTCTCTTTTTAGTCCCAAAGAAACTCGTGCAGGAGTCGGTTTCCAGGCATCCATCATTCCCCTCTCCCCCATCTGTGCCTCATGACCCCAACGTGGTGGGAGACAGCGCTCCTCCTGACGGGACCCCGTCTCTGAGCTCGGACTCTGCGCCAGGTAAGAAACTGAGGACCCAAACACAACCTCAGCAGACTGTTTCCCCTGTCCAAATAATTGCTTTTATCAGGGCACTGATGGGAAACACTGATCTGAAGTCATGAATCTGAAACCACTCACAAACTCTGTGCTGATAGTTGCTGTAGTTACAGCCGTGTTTTGACTGTATAACTGAATCTGACAGAAAAACACCCATAATTAATTTCCCGTGAGCAGAGACAGTACAAACAGATATGTTTAAGAAGCTTTTAATGTGAGCTCTGTTTAGATGACCCTTTGTTTCTTTCCTGAACATATATTAGGCCAAACAGTCTATTAATATATTAAAAGTTCACACACACACACACACACACACACACACACACACACAAAAATGATAATTGCCGGTTTCCGTCTATGGAATAAAGAATAGGTTATAATGACTTTATTTTACAATTCTGTTTTTTTTTTTCTCACAATTCTGAGGAAAAAAGAATCCTGAAGTCACAATTCTGAGAAGAACAGTCCTAATTGCAAGATAGAAATTCCCAACTGTGAGAAAAAAAACTGCAATTTTGAATTTTTTATTCTGTAGTGGGAAAAAAAAGTAACTTGCGGATTTTATTTTTATTTATTTATTTTTTTTTTACAGAATTTAAATTTTGTTCTTAGAGTTGTGTTTATATCTCTCAATTCAACATTATTCCATGGCAGAAACTGGCTTCCATATTCATATTCACAGTGATGTAAAACGTACTGAGAAATTGTACTTAAGTTAAAGTACAGTCGTGGCCAAAAGTATTGGCAGACACAGATTTTGTGTTTTGCTAAATTTGCTGCTTAAGCTGTTGTGGTGTTCATTCACATTGTTTCTACAAGTATTGGCAGTGACATAATCTAGAAACAATGTGAATGAACACCACAACAACTTAAGCAGCAAATTTTGCAAAACACAAAATTTATGTCACTGCCAATACTTTTGGCCACAACTGTACAGATACTACGTAAAAAAAAAATTCTCCATTAAAAGTCTCAAGTCGTCAAGCTCCAAAAACGATAGGAAAAGTACCATATGAAATCATATAATGGATGCATATACACTGAAATATGGTACGATGTCAATGAGACCGGTCACAAGAAGCAATGACATTTGATGTCTTTGATACTTAAAGATATATAAGAGTGTAGTGAATGAATTGCAAGCATTTTTATTTTTTTTGGAGTTAGACAGCACCATACCCATTCACAATTATTGTATACTTTTGTTTTAAAGTAGAAAAAAAATGATATTGTTCATGCCACAACATGATGATGACAGCATTTTCCTTTTTGAGTGAACTTTTTCTTTGACACCACATACACACACGCACACAATGAGGACCTGTTGATGAATTATTGATGTAAATCCAACTTATTCTTTTGTTTATTGCCAGACATGGAAGCTTGGGACAAAATATATACTTTTTGTTTTAGAAAGATCTCATGATGAAGGTTGGTTCAAACGAGGGCATGACGATTGTGTGCATTTGATCGCAGGGAGGTCGACGCGAGGACGGAGTTCTGCTCCGTATTCAGAAGAGACGGATCAGTCTGGAGAAAGCAATCCGAACCCAACCATCTCCACTGTAATCAGACCAGCCATGGCCCTCATCAGCAGCATGCTGGCGGCCTACACCTACATCACAGGTAACACCACAACATCTGCAACCCACAGCTCTTCACATCTGACTTTGAGTCTGTGACCTGGATTACTGGACAGATGTTTGGGGTTGGAAAGATTTATATGTAATGTATTTTGATTGAAGGAGTCTCTTCTGCTCACTAAGGCTGCATTTATTTTATTTATTTATGTCACATGATCCTTCAGAAATCATTCTAATATACTGATTTACTGCTCTAGAAACATTTCTCATTATTAACAATATTGAAAACAGTTGTGCTGCTGAATATTTTTGTGGAAACAGTGATACATTTTTATTTTCCAGGATTCTTTGATGAATAGAAAGTTCAACTATGGTTGGACTTTATCCATCAGGAATTAATTTAATCATAAAAAGTGGGCGGTTCATACAAACAAATGGAGCCAGACCTGAACAAAAGTTTGCTAAAACAGTGCCTGGAATAGCTTCAGTTGCCTAATGTCAAATTGGCCCTAAGTGGAGTCAGTACAATCTACCAAAAATCACACTACACTCTTAAAAATAAAGGTGCTTCACGATGCCATAGAAGAACCTTTTTGTCTAAATGGTTCCATAAAGAACCTTTAGCATCTTTCGTTTCACGAAAGGTTCTTTGTGGCGAAAGAAGGTTCTTCTGATTCTAAAAAGGTAAGAAAGAGATGGTTCTTTAAAGAAATTTTGACTGAATGGTTCTTTGTGGAATCAAAAATGGTTCTTCTATGGCATCGCTGTGAAGAACCTTTTAAGCACCTTTATTTTTAAGAGTGTATTGTTAAAGAAAAAAAAGGTAAACCTTAAACATTAAGTTCTCACATATTTCCAAACAAAAAAAATAAATAAAAAATATGTATGTTTTTCTGTATTTAACTGTTTGTTTTTCACAAAATATGAATATTATAAAATATTCTATATTATTGAATATTAGTGTTTTATATGGACGCCCGTTTCCGCCACTGAATAAAAAATAAAAAAGGTAATTGCGACTTTTTATCTAATTTAATTTTATTTAATTTTATTTTATTTTATCTCACAATTCTGACTTTTTTCTCAGAATTGCGTGATATAAACTCGCAATTGCGAGTTAAAAAGTCATAATTGTGAGATACAGTATAAACTCGCAATTGCGAGACATAAAGTCGCAATTCTGAGAAAAAAAAAAGAGTTTTTATCTCGCGATTCTGACTTTATAACTTGCAATTTTGAGTTTATGTCACGCAATTCTGAGAAAAAAAAGTCAGAATTGTGAGAAGTCGCAATAACCTTTTTTTTTTAATTCAGTGGAGGAAACGGGCTTCCATAGTTTTATAGTATTTTAAATATCTTTTTTTTTTTATTCGCAGCAAAACTGCATAAACTGATGAAAATGTATAAATGCATTTCTTCAAATAAAAGCATCTGCCAAATGCATAATGTAAATGTAAATATCTTAAAAAACTATCATAAAATACATAAAAAAAATTATTTTGAGTCTGTGCACCCATTTTAACCATGAAATTTACAGGTCGAATTTACCCGCTAACATCACCATCGTACTAAAATGACATATGTACTGCAGATTCCACAACTTAGCAGGCAGGTTCATGACCCTGAGTGAGAAAACATCCTATGTTAACCAGTATTTCCCAAAAATGCATTCGGCTCAAACTGACCCGGAACATAATATAAATTTGAAGAGAGTAAATGGTTCACTTTGATTTCATGTTGTCTGTTTTGTGTCTCCATCCCAGAGCACCCGGAGCGCTGTGCGCTTTATTTCATGTGCGGCGTCTGTGCCGGTCTGTTCCTCACGCTCTTCACGCTGGTGGTTCAGATTTCCTGCCGTATGGACTGTAAACCTCGCCGCGGCGTCGCTAAGAAGCGTCCGAGACCCGCGGACTCCGACAGCGACACCAGCGACTCTGATTCAGACTGGGACTCCAGCTCGGACCTCTCGGCCCGACGGCACCGGCGCTTCGAGCGCACGCTCAACACAGACGTCTTCACGTCGGCGGAGGAGCTGGAGCGAGCGCAGCGACTGGAGGAGAGAGAGCGCATCATACGTGAAATCTGGATGAACGGACAGCCGGACGTCCCAGGAACCCGCAGCCTGAATCGCTACTACTAGAGCGCCGCCTCCGATTGGACAAATCCAGACAGGAAGCTACTAACAGGATGCTAAAGCAGCTGGAGTCATCACCTAGTGTGGCATTAAATGGCGTATTTGCAGTGGAAATAAGCTCTTCATTGAGGCGCAGTTTATCCATGAGGTGAAAGGTCAAATGCTGACAAGTCAGATTGGAATATTCTTACCTGGTGTCTTGAAGTTGGACATTTTCTGCAGCGTGCGGCTGAAGCTAAGGCTCATGGGAGATGTGGTTCAGTTGAAAGGAGTCTATAGGCAGCTCTGAGAGGCGTGATAAGCTCTAAGCACTGTGATTGGTCCTTCACTCCGCCTGTCAAACAGTGAAGACCGCCTTCTGTAGGGAGAGACCTGAGCAAATTAAGTGCCTTTGATCTGACAAATACACATACAGTATACAGTGGGACTAAAATATATTTGGACACTTATATATAATATCTGAATGTCATTGCATAAGGAAACAAATATAACAAACCAAGCTGTGACTGCAAGAAAATGATGCTGGAGCTTCACTTTTCTGCATCAGTTTTGCTTAATGACCTATAATCTTATCCACAATGCAACACTGAATCTTTTGGTAACACTTTACAACGAGGTACTACATTAGTTAACATGAACTAACAATAAAAAATACTTTTAAAGCATTAGTAAAATCAAAAGTTCTGTTTGTATATAAACCTGAGGTATACAAGCCTGTTTCAGCTATGGGATAAAAAAAAAATCTGATAATTTGTGGGGTTTTTTCTACTTTTAATCACAATTTTTCTTGCAGTTCTAAATAAATGATCAAATCTTGTAATTCCTTTTTCTCAGAATTCTTTACATTTTGCAATTTTCCTCCTCCACCACAGAATAAAATCAAAAAAATAATTGTGACTTTTGGATGCTGGCAATTGTGACTTTTTAGCTCACAATTCTGAAAAAAGTTTCTGGAAAAAAAATGTTATTTGAAAGATGTAAACTCAAAATTCAGACTTTTTCCCTCACAATTTAATATCTTGCAGTTGTCAATGAAAAATGAGAAAAGCAACTGCAACTTTTTATAAATTCTGACTTTTTTCTCAGAATTGGGAGTTTATGTCTTTAATATTCTGACTTTAAATCTCACAATTCTTTTTTTTTTTCTTCAGACTTGAGAGAAAAAGTCTGAATTGTGAGATAAGCAGTGGTAATTATCTTTTTTATTTTTTATCCCATGCTGGAAACAAGCTTCCATAAACATAAATAAACAGTATTTTTTATCAATTAATGTTAAAAAAGTTAATAAATACTGCAACAAATGCATTGCACATTTTTAGTTAATTAGTTAATTGGACCTAATTGTAAAGTGTTACCTTTTTCTTTCATTTTTAACACTAAATCATTTAATTATTTATCCTACGTTTAAACCTAACAGACTTCTTTTGATGATTTGCTGAACGTCTGCTTGTGCTGTGCTTTCTTTAAAGATAAATGCAACTTGGTTTGATATTTTATTATCAAATGTAATGACATTCGTGCATTTTTAAGGGTGATTAAGCATCCAAATATTTTTGGATATTATATATATATATATATATATATATAGCTATATATAGACATGCTGTAAAATCATCTCAGCCTTTATGAAATCTATTTTGATATTTAAATAGCTTTTGATACCACTATTTTTTTTGGGATTAAATATTTTTTTATACTGTGGCAAAGCTTGCCTGATTGCTCAGGGATGCAATCAAAGTGCTCTGTGTATAATCATATATTCTTTAAGGGGATGAGAGACAAATGAGATTCAAATGTTCCTGCATAGATGCAACCGTGACCTCAAAGAGGTTCTTATAGGATGATGATGCTTAAACACAAGACACATCTGCCAACACAGCTAATCACTCAATGTCTTTATGCAGCGCTTTCTGATTGTTTCAACTGTGGTTAATGTGTTTCAGTTTCTGTTACATGATAATGAGGGCTCAGAATCAATGTTAATGATACGAAACCATACTTTCCATTCTTAAAAATAAAGGTTTTCAATGGTGCTGCAAAGAGATTCAGCAAAGAGCTTCTTCTTATTAAGAACTATTTATGGCTATATAAGGTTTCTGAGTTGGCTATATGAATATTATATTTTTTTAAATTAACGTCTTTGATGTTTAGGTTCTTCAGATCCGTGTTTTGGTTTCCAGGTTCTTTAAAACACCAATAAAAGATGGAACTAAAGGAACTTACAACTTCTTAGTGGACATTAAGATGTTTCTATAGGTGAATAGTCTAACATTTTACCTTTACTCAAATTTTATTGCATTGTGATTTTTAAATGTTTGAGTAAAGTAGCCAACATCTTATTTAATATGCCTAAAGATTTAATATTATATCAAAAGTAATATTAGTAATTTAAGCATTAAAAAAGAACAACTTTAATGGTATGATCATTTAATATGTAATATTTAAGTTTTTTTTTTTTTTTTTTCAAAGCAAGCCAAAACATGAAGTGACTCGACATTTGTATGCATGTGAATGTTTGTTTGTGAAACAGCAGGATGTTTGTGTTGTAAGCGCTCTCAAACTTAAATTTTCCAGTAATATTTCAGCATGGTTTTTATAGGAGTATCAGCTCGTGTACAGAGCAGGAGCTGTGGGAGGTTTTGTTTTGGTTGTTATGGAGCATTTACGGTGGCCGAGAAGTGCAAAGCAAATCAAATACTGCTATTTTCACTTAGTGTAAATAGAATCCATTGCTAATACGAGATTTGAAAAGGGAGAAAAAAAAATTCGGCAAAAGGCGGGATCGAACCCGGGTCGATCGCGTCAAAAAGCCAACAACACACGTCATCTGCGCCACTGGAGCCGATGGTTTACAACCACTTTTAACTAAATGTAAATAGACACCCGTATGTTTTATTGCATAGTAAGGGCAATTCATACAATACATTTAAACTGAGCTACTTTAATACCATCTCCGAACTTTATACCACGACTCTGCTGTTCTTCGGCTGGTTCTTCCTGTATACGTTGATTGACAGATGTCTCGTCCAGTCAGCCGTGAGTAATCCCAAACCAATGTCGCTGTCTCAAACTATACCTACCTTTTCCGGTTTGTCTGATTTGTCGTTGTGTTTTCTGACTTGTTCATTTGTTTTCGGATTTGTTATAATGTTTTCTGACTTGTTATAATGTTTTCTGAATTGTTGTTTTTTTTTTTAGACTTTTGCATTTACGTTTGTAATTTGTTATTTTGTTTTCAGAATTGTGATTTGCTTTGCACTTCTCGGCCACCGTAAGCATTAAATAAACTGCATTGAATAAACTGAACATGTAGCGCTGCCTGTTGGTGAATTGATCCACAGGACACGTGAAAGGAATTATTTACATCACCATGACAACCGCCAGTGTTTGTGGTCTCCGTGGAGACCGCTATAAATAAACCTCCTCGGGGAAGCACAGCAGTCCCATGAGAGAACAACATAACTTATTTTATTTACATAAACCTTTAAATTATTTTAATCTAGATTAGGGTAATAAACCGTAATGTCTCTAAATACAGGACACGGGCTTCCTTTCCTGCCAGGAAACTCATTTCGGGATTTAACGGTGAGAAACATTAACCTGTAACTTAGCGTTCATCTTCTTTTTGAATTTAATGTTAACTTAGTTGTTTTACCACATGCTTTTTGTAACAAACATCTGCATTATTAACTCTTCAGAAATTTTAAAGCACATTTTAGATTTTTGCTGCGAATTAACCAATTAATTTGACAGATTATGAAATATAATGATTTTATATTATTTTAAATAATTTCTGTGTGCTGTGATCCAGAAATCCGCTTTCCACAGAGCTCAGACTCTGGATTTTAAGAACGGTTACGCTCTGCCCCGGCGGCCCGCGGTCGGTACCGGACAAGATCCGCTGCTGTCGGTGAACATCAGTCACAGCGAGAGGAAGCAACTGATCAGAGACATCCCGAACCTGACCTACGGTACCGACACACACCGACCCCCGCCACTAGACTTCATCCCGGCACACGCTGCTTACGACAAGAAGGTGAAGAGTATCTATCTATCTATCTATCTATCTATCTGTCTGTCTGTCTGTCTGTCTGTCTGTCTGTCTGTCCATTGATCTAGCGTTCTGTCTATCATTCTGTTTCTATCAGCCTATTTCTGTCTATCTATCTATCTATCTGTCTGTCTGTCTGTCTGTCTGTCT